CAATTATTCAATATTTGATTCCATAATATATTACTAATTTCAGAATCAATATCAATATCAATATCACTATTATTAAATATAGGTCTTAGGATTTTACGTTGTTGTTCAATCATATTTAAAAGTGTTTTCATATTTTCCATTTCTATTATTTATATTAGTAAATATTTTTTTTTTTTTTAACATCGAGTTGTTAAAAAACAACGTTAACGTAAAAAAAAACAACGTCAACGAGTTAACGTAAAAAACAACGACTCGTTAACAACTCGTTAACGAATCGTTGACGCGTTGACTCGTTTACTCGTTAACTCGTTGTTAAATATATATTAAACAAGTTGTTATTTTTTAATAGAAATATTTCTATTAAAAAAATAAAATATTTAAATAAATTTTTTATAATTTTCAATAAATTCTAAACATAAATGACCACATATAGGTGGATCATTATAGTATTGAAATTGGGAAACAGTATAAAAAAAGATTATCTTTACCCAAATATTTTAAAAGTTCTTTTGGTGGCTCACCAACTATATGACCAAATGGGTCAAAATATATTTTAAATGTATTGTTTATTTTTTTCCATGCAACCCAATGAGAACCATTTTGAGTAGAATCATTTAAATTAAATACTCCACATTCATTTTCCCATGGTGTTGTAGGTAATTCATTTAACATAAAACACCCTCTATAATTTTTTATTTTATTTCCGAAATAATTTATATATATATTACTCAATGGATCAATTTTTACATTATTTTTTTTAATCCAAAACCGTGTATAAATACCTTCAAATTTTTCAATATTATTTCTAAATGTTGTTATTTCAAATTTATTCATTTTTTCAATATTTTTTTTTTTTTTTTTCAAGCCAGAACCTTGTGATCTAATTTTTTCCATCTCTTTATTATGTCGAATTGTTTCTTGTTCCATTTTTTTTTTGTGTTTAGCATCAGTTACTGCAGTATAAAGTGCACTTGCACCTGCAGCCAAAGCACTTACACCTTCAATTACAGCAATAGCTATTGGTAAAAATCCACCTTTTTTAATTTGAACATGTTTAAGTTCTAAACTTGATCCGGTATTATTTTTTTTAGCGTTTTTTAATTTTCTTATTTGTTCTGGCTCAAGAATAAATTTATGTTTTCCACTATCAATTTGATTATTTTCAATTATAATTGATACATCTTTATTATTTTTATGAGCTTTCAATATTTTATTAAATTGTTTTTTATTTAAATTTAGATTCATTTTATAATACAAAAAATTAAATTAAATTAAATTAAATTAAATTCATTCCAAATCGTCTTTTAACATTCATTACATTTGCTGTAAAAATGGCTGCAGTTTTTTCACCTATAGAACTATGAGGATCATAAAATCTTTCCATTGCTTTTTGTTCTAAAATTTTATCAGCAATAATATGTCTTGTTTTAGTATCTTTATTATCTTTATAAAAATAATCATGTTCTCTCGCAGCTTCATCTAATTTGTTTTTAGGTTTTTTATTTTTTTTTAACTTTGTTCCCGGTTATAAATAATTATAACCAGGCCAATGCATTTCAGGTAAATTTGAACAATTCAAAAGAAAATTAACAATTCCTGAACCTGTAATAATTTTCTTTGGTAAACATGAAACATATGATGATAAATAATCTGCACCGTTAATAGGTATATCGATTAATTTTTCCATTTCTCTAATACAAATATTAAGAATATCAAGTTTTTCATCATGGTAAATATTATTTCCTATACTTTCTTCAATTGATATATACTGTATACGTTTAATTATTTTTTCTTTTGATATTTTCACTTCCTTTGGTAAACAAGTTACATATTTTAGTAAATATTCAATACCTTCAGGAGTATCAATAAGATTTTCCATAATTGATTTAAATAAATGAACAATACCAAGTTTTTCGTTTTTAAAATTATTATTTCCAGCTCTTTCTTCTGAAGAAATAAACTGTAAATTATCTATCACTTGGTTTACATTACTAATATAACGATATTCAATACGATTTTCTGTGTATTTCTTTAAACCCTCCCCTATTTGATTATCTTCAGCTAATATTTCATTATTTTCTTTTTTTTCATTAATTTCATTATCTTCATTATTTTCTTTCTTTTTAGTTTTTATTATTTTTTTTCTTATCAGTTGTTTCTGTAATTTCTCTCCAAATATCACTAATCATATCCTTATATTTTTCACCACGACTTGATTTAGCTCTTTTCGTTGAAGGAACATTGTTTTGATATATAGAATTAGTTTCAAATAATATATTTTTATAAATATTAAAATCATCATCTGTATACAATTTTTTGGGTGTAGGAATTTGATTAGTTAATAATCTCCATAAACCTGGTGTTCCTATATATCTTTTTCCATTTAAAATTATATCATCATTATCAAGATTGATTATATCTTTTCCAATCATATAAATATCATCTTTCTCATTATAATATATTCCAAAAGAATTAGTATCTTTTACAGTTGATATATATTTTGACGTAATAGGACCTAAGTTTATAATATTTTTAGGTAATGGAGAATTACTTGTTGATTTTTGACTAGAATATTTTGGAGTTCCAAAAGTCTCTTCTGAACTTGTTAATCGTTTTAATTCTGGATTTCTAGGTTGATAATAATATGGTATATTAAATTTTTGAATATCTCCTTCAGTTTTAATAGCAACATCTTTAACTGCATTCATTGTTGTATTAACATTTGTTAATGCGTTTATTATTGGTCCAAACTTTTTTTGTTGTTCTTCAAGTACATGTTTTTGTTTTACAACTGTATTTCTAAATCTATCCTGTAAATCTTTTTTAAGATTAATTATTTTATTTAAATCTGTAGATTTGTATTGTTTTTTTTCTTTTTTAATATTATCTTCATCTTCATCATCTTTTTTATAATAACAGTCTCTTTTTCATTAGGTTTTAATAATACATCTTTAAATCTATTTTGTAATTTATTTTTAGTATTAATTATTGTCTGAATCTTTACATCTGATGTGTTTTTTAAACTATTTCCTACCTTGGAATTGTTTTGTGTTTGATCTTCAAATGTAACATTTTTTTAAATTTTTTTTTTAAATTCTTTTTGAATTTGTTTAATATCCATTTATTATACAAAAAATTAAATTAAAACATAATCATTCATCGATATATAAAATCTCATTACCTTTATTGTCATAGATTAAATTTTTATCAAGTCTATTGTTATGAAACCATATGTTTTTATTTTACCTATGGTTTATTACTTAATAAATATTTATTTATGAATGTATAATATTTAAATATTTAAATTGAAAATAACATAGAATTATTAAATAATTAATTAAAAATATAAAAAAATTAAAAATCTATTCTGATTCATCATAGTCTTCGTGTGGGAAACAGTTAGAAACAACATATAGCTTGAAATTTTCAAATGTAAAGTGGCGGCGGTTCGGTCTTAACATTGCTTTGGAACGGCTGAATGACCTCTCCACATCAACGGACGTGACAGGTGCATATTTCATACACATTATTTATTTTGGAGTGTATTCAATTTCTGAATATTTGTTATTTGGAGTTTTGTTTAATAGTATGTCTCTAATTGACATTACAGTATTAAAACCTGTGTTTTTTTCCAATACATTTTTTAATTTTGAATTGGTCAAAACTCCAATTTCTCCAGGAACCCGTTCTAATTGCTTTATGGCATTATCAACTATTTCTAAGCTCTCCGTTAGTGGCATTTTAGAAGTTTCTAATTTTGAAATAGTATCAACCAAAAACAAAAATTAGTCGAAATAAATGCTAAATTGTTTTGCAAATTTTTACTGTCTATGAGCTCAACAGTTTTTTTTATTGCTATTGCAGCTTTGAGATCTAAATTTAAGACAACGTTTCTAATCTTTTCAAAGTTATTTGAATAATATAATACAGCTGATAACCACGTACCCCATCGAGTTATAATAGGCTCGGGAGGTAGAGTTAAATCCGGGTACATATCTTTAAATGTTTGTATACGGCTTTTAAAAATATTTTTTTTACGTTGGAAATTAACGAATCAACTTCTGAAAATTGAAATCTAATTGTTTCAGCTATACGATGAAAACCATGTACTAGACAAGTTAAATGTATTATTCTTGGATAAAATGTGTCCAACACTTTTCCCGCCTTACACATATACGGCGCGACGTCCGTTAAAAGTAAAAGTACATTATTGTGTTTAATACCATTCGGCCACAAAACACCCATTGCATTATTAAATAATTGACATATAGTTTTGTGGTTACATTTATCTAATTCTTCAAAGCACAATAAAAATGGTTTAGATGGTTCAGTGCTCAATTTTCCTACAATAACATTTGCGATATATCGACCGTCGGCGTCTGTTGTTTCATCTACTCCAAACCAAATAGGGCCATCTCCAATGATATTTTGAATTTTCGAAATAGTTTCTTCATACACCCCACTAACATTATAATTTTTCCTCGTACTCTCGTCGGGAATTTTATGACCAGTATATTTTTCCATAAAATTTTCGAATAACGCTCATACGAATACTGATCGAAAAGCGAACGCATATACTCGTATACTGAAATTACTACCTACTACTTAGATAACTAGATAAGATATCGAATCGTTGTCGTTTGATGTCAAAAGTGTACAGTACAGAGACCTAATCGTATCGAAAAATACTAAAATAAAAATGGAAATTCTTCAATAATACAGAATACGTATATTTATTTGTAAAATAATTAAAATATACACGGAAATTCTACAATATTACATAATTTATGTATTTATTTGTAAAAAAATTTAATTATTCCAAACTATTTAAAAATATTTAATTATTCTAAAATATTTAAAAATATTTAAAATAAAATTAGCATCAGATTACTTGAAATTAAATGAAACGTATACATATATCGAAAACTTTCCGATGCTATTATTACATAAAAATATTTATTTAAATTAAAATCCTTTCCCTAGTAATAACATATATTAGGTTAGGTTACCTGAAGTATAGCACAGGTCAACGAATCTGGGAAAGGAGGATATTTTTTGCGTCTTTTATCGTACATGGCTTTTCTTATCGATTTTATATCTGAATGTGGCACTTCAAAATCTGTTGCCATCAGCTCAGATCTGATAATTTTTGATGGTCTAATTGAAATTGAGTCATCTGCTTTACGTTTACAATTTTCTCGTAAAATTTGGTGTTCGATTTTCTCCATTGTATTTAAAATATGTCCGTGCTCACCCAACATTGACAATACTTTTGAACGGCCACTGTCTGACAATATACTGGCATAACATGTCCTGTTTGTGCACAACCATTTAACTTGCCCGTCTTTTCGTTGTCTTATAAAACGATATTTGTCTGTACCAACTAATGCCAAGTCTTTTCCGCGTTCCGACGTAATTATTTTTATTGTTTCATTTTCCATTTTATATAACACAATATTATACTACACTTTATACTATACTTTTATGCTACTATTGCTACTCTCAGAACGTTCGTCAGTCAACTAATAAAATCTACAGCAGTACAGCGGTTATAAGTAGTGTGAACTTTTATTTCACGATAATCACGATAATCACGATACCTAATCATTTAATATTTCCAGTTTCGTCTATATGTGACTTCCGGCTAGTTGCACAAAAATAACGTACGTAATCGTGTTATGAAAAAGGTTGAAAAATGTACCACCGATAAGCAGCGTACGCAATCGTGTTCCACCCGTATCTAAGTACGTAGGAGCGCCCATATTTGATAACATTTTTTTATTTTTTATTTCGATAATTTATTTATTTATTAAAAATACAAATATTATTATTATTAATAACTAATAAGTAACACCCTCGAAAGATAATGATAGGTACACAATTATATTATATAACTATAAGAAGTAAGAATACAGTGTACACACAATTAAGCTATTAACTAACAATTATATTACAGATTGCTTATTTTTTAAATCACAATAGCCGTGTATTTTTTTTAATGTCGAGATATACGTATACTTGCGTGTTTGCACTTTTGGGGCAGTAGTTTACTGGGTACCTATAGTGTTTTAGTATATAAACAATTAAGTACCTACTAAGCTCATTTACATTTACATATGTAGGTATCTAAAGCTCAAAATTATTTTATTGTTTGTACCTAATAAGTATAATATGCTCATCTACATAGGTTGTATTGAAATTGATGTCAATTATGGGTGACCCTGTGGCAAGTTTTCCGGAAATAATCGAACTGAACAAATTGCGGAGATGGTACGAATTACGGATAAATGAAAACAGACATATGACGTTGAAAATAAAAAGTTAGTAAAGTTTGATTATTATCATCATCTAATATTATTATCGTGCACAATACTATACCTAACCATAAATATTTTTTTTGTCACGCCTGCACCGAAAATTTAGTTTTCGATGACGGTTGAAGCGTTGGATTTTCAGTCCAGCTGGTGGTAAAGTGGGAATCCCTAATAGTGCCGGGCCAGGGCGGTAAAGTGGAAATCCAAAACAGTGCCTGGTGGTAAAATGGAAATAACCAAAGTGCTCGTCACACATATCACGTGCGTATGGCATATCTCCTCGCACAACCAGACACTAAAATCTATACCACGGCCCTTACAAAATATATACATTTGGTTACATCTTATATTTATATTATAACCTCCAAGCGTGACGCTTAAAATAAATAAAACCAAATCGTTTCTTTCATGAAATATTTTTGTCGTAGAATTGTGGTCTAGTTGTTGCATATATCCCTGCATTAACTTTGATGAACGCAGAGGCGTGACAAAAAACAGTATGTGCAGCTCGTGTGGGGAGGCCATTTCAGACTTGGGCGAAATGCGGCACAAGTCGCCCGCGACTGCAATAGCTCACTTCCCGCTCTTGCAACACAATATCCTATTGAAGTGTGTAATTCGTGGTATAATATTTAAATAGAAAATGTTTATTTAATGGTTTAGAAAAGCTGATGGTTCAGTCGATAAACGCGTGGAGTGCACCACGGATCAAACTGACGTCCGTTCACGTACCACAGAACCCAATGCAAGGTGAGGGCAAAATCGGTGCGATGAAAATTACTTGGGATCGAGTGAACGAAATAAAACGCAAAGTGAGTGTCATTTTTCGATGTATAAGTAAAATATACACACGGGTTTTTACATAATATACGTAGGTATATGACATACGGTTTGGATTTTGTATCATGTCCATTGCCGATATACTATTATGTATAATTTATAAGTAGCTATCGTCATTGCCAAAACAATACTATACATAATATATATAAAAAGTTAATATTCCAAGAGATAAAAAAAAAATAAAAATACTAATGGAAATACTTGGAAATAATTTTAACTAAATATTCAAATATGATTAGAAAAATTATTTTTCATACAATTAATAATTATATTTTTCAGTAATTATAGTTAGGATTTGCGTGGTGTTGTCTTTAATATTCAGATAATAGTGTGAAGATAATTACGTGATATTAAATATTATTTTTTTTCATAGTTTAAAATTTCAATATCGTATTTTGTACCCATAAAAAAAATAATTCTTTATCACATTGAATATTGAAATGTCTTTATAATATAATATTTTTAAATACCTACATGTTTTCATTAAAAGAAAAAAAATCTACTGAAATGTGTGAGTTCTTCGAGACACGGAAGTTTCACAGCTTCACTTCTTTAGGTACTTATAACGAAACATAAACTCGTTTTTCTTGTTAGGTGATTTAAATTTTGCTAAACATTTGTAAATATTTTTAGTCTCTCTAAAAATGTATATATTAAAAATTTATTTTGAAGACTTTTCACATGTCTTACTATTATGTTATGTAGGACCGATTTTTTTAGCTTCCCTACGTATGTAAATCATGATATATTTCTTTCCTTTGTTCTTCTAGAACCCAAGTAAGGTTTACCGTCCATACGCAATATTCGATTAAAATTGTCTTCAGAATATTGATGATTTTATTTATTTCTATGTATACTAATAACAATATCTTCTGAACTTTATACATTTATATTTTAAACGAAATACTGTTTTGGCAACGAGTAACAACAAAATAATACACATTTTTTTTTTTAAGAAAATCTATTCTAAAGGGTGGATAAACAATCGCTGCATTTCGTTTTTTTTTAATATAATCACTTTAAAACGTTTACATAAAGGTCCATCAGTATATATAGTTATACATATAGTTTGATATTGTATCAGATATCTATCAGACAATAAATAAATAAAACTATCAGTATAACTATTCGTTTCTATGTAAACCAAAATGTTTACACGATTATGTAAACAAATATAATTGCCAAACGTATCCGATCCTTCAATTTTTCGAATTATCTAATTTGGTATATTTTAACATTATATATAATTTGTTAAGCTTAATAGTATCATGAACGGTAAGTAAATACATACAATATTTAACAACTGTACAACGTTTTGACTAAAAAAAAATTATGCACACTGCAGAACTCATTAAGAAAAGCGACGGTGGAGATTCATACAGACAAGTTTCTATTCACGCTCTAAATGGCTTCAACGAACTCCGTCTGAACGCCAAACTTTGCGATGCGTCATTGATAGTTGATACTGGTGAAATAGTGAAATATTTCCGATACATCGATCAGTGTTGAGCGGTTCAAATGATTACTTTAGGTAAGTACATGCAGTCTGTGGCCCTCTTGATAGTTACCTTATGGTAGACTCCAGTCCCAAATTACAAGAAAAGATCGCTATTATAGAACATTGTCTATTTCATAAAATAATAAAATTGTTGACACTTTTTTTTATAATATATTCTGTTTGCAATAATTTTTCAATAATAACTACAAATAATATACCTATTGGCTATTTGTATTAAAAACTTAAGATTTTTCAAATGAATTTTGAACGTTTTGTATTGTTATTAAACAAACTCTAAATTTCGTAGGTACCTACCTGATATAGTAAACCTTTGAAATAGTCGGGTAGTTATATTAGTGTAGGTAATAATAAATACTCTACAGTAATATGTGTAGGTAGGAAGTAATAACTAGCAACTCATTTGATTACAATGTCTAATATTGTGAGTAAAGTTACTAGTAAGGTTTTTCCAATGAAATATCGAAAACAATATTTTTAAGATATTTTTCATTTAACACCTAACTAACTAGAGTGGTTTTTCTACTATAGTTTTAAATTAAAATTTGTTTTTCTTATCTTTCATTAATGTAATAAAATATTTAAAAAAAAATAAATTTCATGACATTTCAGAACTCTAATTGTGAGTTATATAATTGAACATTCGAACCATATAAGTAATTTAATTTTGGCATTAATACAGAGAGTTCAAAATTCAGATTTTACAATAATATCCAATAATACAAAATTCGTTCAAAAAATTGTTAATTTAGCAGTTAAATATTGTAGATACCTACAACCTACCAATTTAATATTTTCATCATTATAATTGAATTAAAACTAAAAAAAGGCGGGCAAGTGGGTGTCGCTCTGCTGTACAGTAGGTTACAAGTGGGTCACTGTATAATGGATGATATTAAATTTGAATTCAACGGTATAATATCGTTGTATAAGAAAAACGATTCTGAGCGGAGACGGTATGTCAGTCGATGTATAAGACATATTATATACATATCTATGGTATTAAACAAAAAATTGACCTATAATAGGTACCTATAATAAATTCCAAATTAATCATATCACAATATCCATTAGGTACTTATAACGCGTTATACATCAACAAAAACCAATCACAACAAAATAACTAAAATAGTTATTCTAGGTTTTTTAATATGTAATTTCGTCCAAATTTGAATTTAAAATGTCTGTAAAAAATAACTGTGTTCATATATTTTTTAGATTTTTTGGTTACAGTATGAACTATTTATGAGAACCTTTGTTTTAAATTTGCAATATCATTGTCAAATATTTGTCATTGTGTGTGTAGTAAATGAACCTTGGTTGGTGTAATCCGTTATCTGGACCATTATCATAAAAAAAACGTTAAAATCGGTACAAAATAGCTATAAACGGAAGATTAGTTTATGTAATTCCTGATATCCGATTATTATTTTTAAAATATGTATTAACTCATCATCCCATTTACTAGTTTATGTAGGAAAAATAATTGATGTTTTAAAACTGAATGAACCTAAGTGTATAAAATAAACATTTTTTCATATTTTTTTTAAATTTTAACATATTTTTTAAGCCTTAGGTATTGAAGGCATTGAATACAAAAATCAAAAAACCGTTTCCTACATAGCCTAAAAAAGGAGATTACGAGTTCATACATATTTTCAAAATAATAATTGGACATCGGAAGTACATAAATTAATCTTCCGCTAATTGGTCTAAAACTACAAAAAATACGATGTGGTCCAACAGCCAAATTACTAAAAAAAAACTGTCA